TTTGGTAAAAACATTTAATGTTACACTCTTCTCTATACGTTTGGCTATCAATTTTTCTTCAACTTGTATTGTAATGACTTCAGTCTGAATGAAACGTCCCTTGGTGTTCTGGTCCTGGATTGTGATATTGGTTCTCGATTGGAGGAGGGAGGGGGATTTTAGACATTGTTTCTTTTCACGTTAGATCGCGGTTTTGAGATTTCGTTTGACAGATTTACACTTACAGTTTGCTTTTCTTGTTGGGTTTCTTTAAAGTTTTTCGTCACCCTTCCTTTTTGGCATTTGCGCTTATATATTCGACGATCTAACTTTACCAACATATTACGTCTTTTCATATATAATTTCGTAGACTACCAAAGTTCATATGTTATTAAAGAAAAAACAAAAATATGATTATGGCTTCATTTTCGAAAAATGCGGATCCTATTATTTTGGAGAAATTGCACAACTTCGTACCCTTACTTCTTCAATAACTTCACTGATAAGATATAATGTGTCATTTTCTTTATAATTTATTTGAGATGATAAATAATACATTGGCAGGTCAATCACACACGTTGCGTGCAATTTTGTAACTACTTATACTCCTGACTCTGTCTTAACTTTACAATAACTTCAGACTATAGCTTCAAATTATGAACTACTTCAAATCAATTACCTGACACGTGGAATAACCTAAGAACTATTAGTCTTAATACACAATTATATATTGTGCAACGGAAGGAGTAATTGCTTGTGTTTCAAAGGGGGTATAAAGTAAATGGAAAAAATGATCGTGGGGATGATATTTCTTGTGATCTGAAATGAGGAACATCCTCGGGAGGAAAAGCTATAATTATCAGAACACGTGCTTTATTAACAATACGTCATTAGATCATCCTAAACAATCATTAGTTTTGGATTAGTGAGATTCTTTGCGTCATCGTAAGCTCATTTGCTTCCCGACTAATCACATTTTGATCAAATCAAATGCCGCCATATCAGCATATTATATGGTGCTTACTGAAATTCGACAACCGACGGTTTTATGGCTTTTTACCCAACTTTTATAACTTTCCTTAAACAGCATGTGAATTATACTTCTGAGAAGCGACAGAGATGAAACTTTTGCATGTTTGTTTTATGCCGCACAAATTATATGATCCTGATCAGGAATACGTTTCTGATGTTTCCAATTCTGATTTTCTGATTTATTCAGATCCCTTCTTGACTTTATCTTGCAAGGTGAACATGTTACAAGATCTGGAGATGAATATCTGGTAGCCACAATAGATACTCCCCGCTATGATATCTGGATCTATAAAGTCTAAAAATATATGGAAATGTACGATCATTAGGAGCTTTAGCAGCAATAAAGATCTTACTTTACCACAACGTCGATTGTTGATTGAGATTTAAAGTGCATTATCGTATATATCGACCACCAGTTATCAGACTTAACAAAAAACAGAGCGCCTCATTGTAGGTGTTTTGTACATCGAAACAGAATCGCTGCCATTTCAACAGATCAGAGAGAGGCTTTTAACGCCAATGTTTAAGCCTCTTATTTGTACATATTAATAGCACAAATATCTGTTCCATGTGTTTTGCAATGAATTAGTGGGGAAAGGAATTTCAGAATCAATGAAATGAAATATAAGCTGAGTTTAGTGTTCAAGCATTCTTAATGGGTACATTTTTTTCAGATACGGACTTGTATATATACAACCACATAAACCTTGTCGGTTAATGCAAATATAATCAAAGGGCAGGTTATAGAATCCAATTAGATTGTAAAAGACACAAGTTATATCCAAATCTTAATACGCACATTCTATCAAAGGAACTGGTCCCAGACAATTCAATTGAATGATTTTTAAGACGGGACACTGAACCAAAACGACGGACGAATTGATATGAAATATGGTGAGATCTGATCCAAGTAGAAACGATGAACTAATTTGTAAGGAATTATTTAGGATGACGACTCTCTTTAAAGAAATTTTCAACCAAAAATAACATTGTGAATAGCCAAATGTATCAATGGGAATATATAGAAGATATAAAATATGCGTTTTGCGAGGTACTAGCGCATTTCTTGAGAAATGATCTCCATCCCCCTCCCAAGTCACGTTTTAGGAATATGTAACAGTTCCTGTCAATTCAATGTGAGCATTTGCTTGCAGAAATCTGTTCAATTCGTTGCAGAGTGGAACGATGATGTACCCGAGTAAGTAAACACTTTGAAAGAATGGCCGTATGCCGTTTAGACCAAGAACGGTTGAATAAATATTTTATGGCAAACGTCAGGTTGGATAAGTTGATAGTGTATATCTGTTAGCCTTATGGTGTATTAAAATGATGATTTACGACAGCCATGATTTGCTATGATTAAGTCTAACTTGGTATTTTATAGGATTATCTCCTTTAATTGTACAATAAACCCCATTCGCTAACGTAATGCTAGTTAACATACCAAATATGCTATTAATAAATGAGTCCCAGTTGCACACACGTCCCAAAATGAATTAAAACTGTTTTCTACATGTTGTGTTTCTATTTTCTATTTCTATGATTGTGATATTGGTTTTCGATTAAAGGGGAAGGGGAATTTCAGACATTTTATCTTTTCAAGTTGGATCATGGTTTTGGGTTAAATAGGGTATATTTTTCTTATGACAGGTTTACACTTAGGGTTTGCTTTTCTTGCTAGCTTTTTTTACTGTTTCGGTTCTTTCCATTTGGCATCTGTGCTTGGATATTTCCTAGTTTTGGAGTGGGACATTAATTCCTGAATGGCGGGAAATATTTGGTTGTTAGGCGCCTTTGATCATAATTTGGGATACTTGGGGTTGTTTCCTCATGACAGGTTGCGCTTTAAAATGTTGTTGAGCTTAGGAATACAATGTTTTCTTATATATTTTCACATTTTTTAGCATGATCTCATATATAATAGACGTTGCGCAACCGGTTATTATATCCAGTGAAATTCTGAAGTTAATAACACCTGCAGGACATGCATATAACATTTCAAGTATTATCATCTGATTCAAATTTTATGTTCACGGTTTATTTGTAATGCAGAAGTACGCAATAGTTTGAGGGGTGATATTTCAAAATGTAATTGTAGAGACACAAATTATTTAAAGGTATATTCAATCTGTTAAATACACATTATTTGCCTTTAGCAGAGTGTTTTTAATCAATAAAATACGTAAAATCGCCCATTTTTCAATACCCATTTCCTTTACAATATCCGCTTCAGTTCCGGACTATCCATAATACATTAATGTAATCTGATTTTTCTTAATAATGATAAAATGGCAATCGGGACTTTTGATAACAGACTGCGAATACAGAAGTATAAATAAATTAAGAAATAATGAATTTCAAATTGAAGTTGGTGTCTAATAATGAACGAATGGGATTCATCAACGTTTATGAAGGAAGCGCTTGGGTTACGCTGATGGATTCATAAGATCAATCCTACGAAGTCATTAAATAGACAACAATCTCAATTTTTAATTCAATTTCAATTCCACTATTTCACATTAGAATAAGTGGGGTAAATACAATATACTAAACCAGGGTCCATACGAGTGTCGACGAGGCATACAAATGTTGATATTGTAACTTGTTATTTTACATAAAGATAAAGGACGAAAAAAGAAAAATGTTTATATCAAGACTAGATGCGAGTAGAAATAATCTTGATTTACGTCATTGACTATTCAAAATTCAGTCAAAGTGATGTCATATTTGAATATCTAGAAATATGGTTTCGAAAATTGTTTATCAACTTTAAATTTTTATTTGAAAATGTGACTACTTGTTCGGGGAGATTCTCCATAGACCCCATGTTATAAAATCACGAAAAATGCAATATCTTTTATTGATTTGGACAGATAATATATTCTCTAACTTGTCAAACTTTAATTTGCATAACTATTAGATACATTGGAGTGAATGGAAATTAAACTACTAAAGTTAAAGTTAAAGGTAACTTTCTACTATACCCGCCATTCTATCTGACCCGAACGAGCCACCTGGTGGTGAAACTGGCAACTTACTACTCCATCTGAGTTATTAAGCATTACATCCGTGTGTAGTCCTCCGAAACGAAAGCGATGGGTCGAAGCGATGATTCTAATGAATTATGGCTTGTCTCTTCATCTTACATATATAGGACTGAATCAGTACTTTAGATTAGAAATAAAACTGTTAAAAGCTGGAAAGTGAATACTTATTCTGAATGACACTTATCGTTTCCACATCGTCTCATCAAATTAGGCCAAAGACATTGAAATAGTGCGAATTACTCATTCGGATCATCTGTTATTGACATATCCAGAACATAGCATATGATGTCAAATTCGACATCTCAATTCCAATGTGATAATTTAAGACGCGTGTACATGTAACTAGTTACAAGAAACGCGCGCAATATTTTAAATGGCTTCAATACTTTGATAGTGATGGTCATGGGCCAATGGGGATTGGTTACGGGATTATTTCGATTCTTGGCGTTTGCATATGGAACTAAATATAAATTACTACGCTAAGTTCCTTCGGAGATATTGACGTCTACAATTCATTGCTGGACACGGACACGGACGCGCTAATAAGTTTGGAATGCATGCGTATACGTAAGATAGCAAAGACTACCGAACCACACTGTTGAATACCTACATCATGGGACATTGGATAGACTTTGTCAATTCGAAAGGATGTCTGTAAAATCTAACATTTCTGTAGAAGAATCAATACATTTAGAAGTAGTTGATTATTAAAAATGGGTGATTAACCCCGTTCTTGTTACATAAAGTGACGTTGAAGTCATCCTTTGTGAGACTGGGATAGGAGCTGGCATTGGTAAGGTATTGTTGATATATGGTACTAACTGAGGATGCACATATATCCCTCAAAACAATCATCGGCTGTGTTCACGGGTTGTCCCTAATCCATACCTGGTTAATTGCTTCACAGTCATGATAGTGCCATGATTCTGTATACATGAACATTTAACTAGAGTCCTAATAAGAAATCTATTGAGAAGATTCAAGGATACATCAACATCTCAATTTAGTCGTAATCCTTAATTGTTATACATTAGGAGCATTATCAGAAATCGTCATCATTCTACATCGATATAATTGCATTAGCGCAAAAGCTTTACGTGCATGTTTCACACTGATCGATTGGAGGAGTGAATTGCCATTGTTTTGAAGACATCGGTCCGGGGACATCAAATTATTATTATGTTCTCATTCAGTGTGGATTGGATCACGAAGCATGAGAATTTAAAATAAATGAAAATATAGCAGAAATGGGCACTACTATTGTTTACAACTAAAATGTACAATACGTAAAGTTACCCGGATATGTGAGTTTACAATGAAACAACAAAAAGGAGTCGAGCGGGGTTAATGTAAATTGATCGATGTGGATTATTATTCTACACAAATTACGATAGCTCTTAGCTCAAAATAAAAGTGTATAAAGATGATTTTCATGGCAACGAACAACTCCGGCAATTGAGAAGTACAATAAAATACACCATCCTAAAGAGAAAGGTAGGAACATTATATCACCGTTTTTGTTCAAAACCTTTTCGCTGAAGAAAGAAACTTTTCATGAACATTTTCATCAGATGGCCGTGGTGGGTTAACTAATTAAGATGAACACAAGTGGGCAGTTGAATAAACGTGTCTTGTAAGGAATCAATTTACAACCGTAATCGAATTCATTGTTATGGTAGTTCAATATCATATTGGAATCGACATGGATGGTTGGAAAACCATTCTGGTAATATCATGCAATAGTGTTATTATAATGTTCCCAAGTTATTTACTCATTTCAGGTAAAACTATATATATGTATGTATCTCATTTATTGTTATGCGAATGCGATTTTAAACCAACCCGTTTTATTTGCCTGTGATACTATGAAATAGATTTCAAGATTGGGGCTATCAGATACATGTAATGTTTGGCTTTGAACTCGGACTATCGCCCTCGTTTATACAAAATCTTAAAATAATTCAGGAACCATTCAACTTTTGGCTTATAAATCATGCTCGTATTATACAAAATTGGACAATTATTATAAACGTTAGTGTTATTTAAAAAAAACTCGATGTATCGAGAAAAAGAATCTGTTATTGACATAAAATACAATTTAAGGTTCGTTCAATTTGTCCATCTATTTCAGAATTATTAGATTTCGAAATGCAAAGGAATGAAAAAATCCAATCTAAATGCTAAACATCATCAAAAGGGAATATTTTGTGACAGGTCGTCATGAATGTGTTCCTCGAATTGGTGACAAAATGTCATTTCAAAATGTTTTAAGGGATGTACCTTTCTTTGTGGATCCGTGTGATTTTACAAGCACACGGGTCTTTGGATAACTGACAATTGAGGCTAGAGATGAGTAGACCTGTTTTGAACGTTTATATTTATATACAGGTCGGAGAAAAAGGCTTTTCATCGAAGCATTACGTATAACAGCAAAAACATGGGATTAATGGTTTAACGAAGACATTTATTTCAATTTACATGTTTGTACATCGTTCATAAAACCCTCAACACTTAATTTCTCCGCAAATGTCACTTTTCGGACATACGTTTATCAGATTGAATGTTATTTTTGTGCAAATTGGTTAACGAAGCTGATCAAAATGGTTAATTTCATTTCTGCCTAAAACTGATTTTAATTTTAGAATTAATTGTAGTAGACATTAATCAACCTCCGTAGGACATACGACTCCTCTTCCAGAACACACTTACACAAACAACCTCCGTAAGACATACGTCTCACTTCCAGAACACACTTACACAAACAACCTCCGTAGGACATACGACTCCCTTCCAGAACACACTTACACAAACAACCTCTGTATAACATACGACTCCCTTCCCAGAACACACTTACACTAACAACCTCCGTAAGACATACGACTCCCTTCCAGAACACATGTACACACAAACAACCTCCGTAGGACATACGACTTCCTTCTAGAACACACTTACACAAACAACATCCGTAGGACATACGACTCCCTTCCAGAACACGTTTACACTAACAACCTCCGTAAGACATACGACTCCCCTTCCAGAACACATGTACACACAAACAACCTCCGTAAGACATACTACTTCCTTCCAGAACACACTTACACAAGCAACCTCCGTAGGACATACGACTCCCCTCCCAGAACACACTTACACAAACAACCTCCGTAAGACATACGTCTCACTTCCAGAACACACTTACACAAACAACCTCCGTAGGATATACGACTCCCTTCCTGAACACACTTACACAAACAACCTCCGTAAGACATACGACTCCCCTCCAAGACACGTTTACACTAACAACCTCCGTAAGACATACGACTCCCCTTCCAGAACACATGTACACACAAACAACCTCCGTAAGACATACTACTTCCTTCCAGAACACACTTACACAAACAACCTCCGTAGGACATACGACTCCCCTCCCAGAACACACTTACACAAACAACCTCCGTAAGACATACGTCTCACTTCCAGAACACACTTACACAAACAACCTCCGTAGGATATACGACTCCCTTCCAGAACACACTTACACAAACAACCTCCGTAGGACATACGACTCCCCTCCAGAACACACTTAACCAAACAACCTCCGTAGGAAATACGACTCCCTTCCAGAACACACTTACACAAACAACCTCCGTAGGACATACGACTCCCCTTCCAGAACACATGTACACACAAACAACCTCCGTAAGACATATGACTCCCCTTCCAGAACACACTTACACAAACAACCTCCGTAAGACATAAGACTCCCTTCCAGAACACACTTACACAAACAATCTCCGTAGGAAATACGACTCCCCTTCCAGAACACACTTACACAAACAACCTCCGTAAGACATACGTCTCACTTCCAGAACACACTTACACTAACAACCTCCGTAGGAAATACGACTTCCCTTCCAGAACACACTTAACCAAACAACCTCCGTAAGACATACGACTCCCCTTCCAGAACACACTTACACAAACAACCTCCGTAGGACATACGACTCCCCTTCCAGAACACATGTACACACAAACAACCTCCGTAAGACATACGACTTCCTTCCAGAACACACTTACACAAACAACCTCTGTATAACATACGACTCCTCTTCCAGAACACACTTACACTAACAACCTCCGTAAGACATACGACTCCCTTCCAGAACACATGTACACACAAACAACCTCCGTAAGACATACGACTCCCTTCCAGAACACACTTACACAAACAACCTCCGTAGGACATACGACTCCCCTTCCAGAACACACTTACACAAACAACCTCCGTAGGACATACGACTCCTCTTCCAGAACACACTTACACAAACAACCTCCGTAGGACATACGACTCCCCTCCCAGAACACACTTACACAACAACCTCCGTAGGAAATACGACTCCCTCCCAGAACACACTTACACAAACAACCTCCGTAGGACATACGACTCCCCTCCCAGAACACACTTACACTAACAATCTCCGTAAGACATACGACTCCCCTTCCAGAACACACTTACACAAACAACCCCCGTAAGACATACGACTCCCCTTCCAGAACACACTTACACAAACAACCCCCGTAAGACATACGACTCCCCTTCCAGAACACATGTACACACAAACAACCTCCGTAGGACATATGACTCCCCTCCCAGAACACATGTACACACAAACAACCTCCGTAGGAATTATGACTCCCCTCCCAGAACACATGTACACACAAACAACCTCCGTAGGAATTATGACTCCCTTCCAGAACACATGTACACACAAACAACCTCCGTAGGATATACGACTCCCTTCCAGAACACATGTACACACAAACAACCTCCGTAGGACATACGACTCCCCTCCCAGAACACACTTACACAAACAACCTCCGTAGGACATACGACTCCCCTTCCAGAACAGTACACTTACACAAACAACCTCCGTAGGACATACGACTCCCCTTCCAGAACACATGTACACACAAACAACCTCCGTAGGAAATACGACTCCTCTCCCAGAACACACTTACACAAACAACCTCCGTAAGACATACGACTCCCTTCCAGAACACACTTACACAAAAAACCTCCGTAGGAAATACGACTCCCCTCCCAGAACACACTTACACAAACAACATCCGTAGGACATACGACTCCCTTCCAGAACACATGTACACACAAACAACCTCCGTAGGACATACGACTCTCCTCCCAGAACACACTTACACAAACAACCTCTGTAGGACATACGACTCCCTTCCAGAACACACTTACACAAACAACCTCCGTAGGACATACGACTCCCCTCCCAGAACACACTTACACAAATAACCTCCGTAGGACATACGACTCCCTTCCAGAACACACTTACACAAACAACCTCCGTAGGACATACGACTCCCCTTCAAGAACAGACTTACACAAACAACCTCCGTAGGACATATGACTCCCCTTCCAGAACAGTACACTTACACAAACAACCTACGTAGGAAATACGACTTCCCTTCCAGAACACACTTACACAAACAACCTCCGTAGGACATATGACTCCCCTTCCAGAACAGTGCACTTACACAAACAACCTACGTAGGAAAGACGACTCCCCTCCCAGAACACACTTACACAAACAACCTCCGTAGGACATATGACTCCCCTTCCAGAACAGTACACTTACACAAACAACCTACGTAGGAAATACGACTTCCCTTCCAGAACACACTTACACAAACAACCTCCGTAGGACATACGACTCCCCTCCCAGAACACACTTACACAAACAACCTCCGTAGGACATATGACTCCTCTTCCAGAACAGTACACTGACACAAACAACCTCCGTAGGAAATACGACTTCCCTTCCAGAACACACTTACACTTAAACAAAGCAATATTTGTTCGAGAGTTCCATGGTTCTTTGGTCGATCTCGTGATTTGAAACAGTTTGAACGACGTTGAGTTATTGTAATAGGTCTATTGTGAGAACTTTGATTCGATATTAAACCAAAGTGGCATAAACAACAGAAATATAGATTGGGTAACTGTCTGATGGTTTGCTGTATTGTTATGTATACGACCCATCGAGGAAAAAAGAAATGAGTATGATGAATGTAATAAGTCGAAAACATTTCAATATGTTTTCAAAGATACATCACACAAGGTTCAAAATTCATATAGAGCTAGAATGATTGTTTGGGATGCAGGGGTTTTATTTTCTTACATCTTACAGCTGGTTGTGTTTTCCCCTGTTGTGTTTAATACATTTTTGGCCAATATTTTGGCTTATTCTATGATGATAAAATTCCCTGCAATCTGATTGGTCCATATGACTCTGCTAGCTCATCGTGGAGACAGACCTTCTCGGGCAAAATATTTTCTGTATTTCCCTCGATCATTGAATAACTCGTGATATTTGCTAACAGAAGCAAATTCATTGTGTTTAGACAAGATCGCTTACCTGTTGCACGAACATCTCACAACCTTTCTTAGTGTCTGAGTTACCCTGCACGCA